CTTGAACTTGCAGTCTTCCTGCCCCGGCCTTCCAGTGTGCTGCCATTTCAGGGATGCACCACTATGGCCAACTTCTGCCTTATGAAGCTTTAACCCCCAAATGCCCTTCCCTGTGAAAACTCTGCCCAGTGATTAGCATCACAGACAGCACTGAATTGGCCAAGAGGCTTCGTGTGGCTCTGACACTCAGATTCTGGCATAACGAGGGCAAAGACTGACAGGCACAGACTGGCCTCGCCTATTGAACTGTCCTGCTTTGACGAAACTCTTTCCTATCCAAGCTGTCCAGTACAGTTGTCACAGACACATGTGGCTCCTGGGCATTGGAAGTGTGGCTGCTGTCACTAAGGAAATGCTTTCTAAATTTTATTTTAATTCGCTTAAGTTAAATACCCATATATGTACAGTGGTTACCACATTGGACCTAAAAGTCATAGCCATTACTTGTAATATCTCATTTAATCCGAGAAGGAAGTTTGGTCTTTCTTACCAATGTCAGTGTCTAGACATCACTGCCACTCCCCGGCACAGGCTTCACCTCTGCCTCCTGGACACTCAGAGGTGTAGGTTCCCAGCTGTCCTGCAGGGAGGCAGGGTGCTGTGACTAGTTCTGGCCAGAGGGCTGCAAGCAGTCATGCCACTTGCTGCCAGTGCAAACACATATGTGCCCTGCTTTGGTGACAGCAGTGTTCCAGGCCTTGCACATCTGCAACTCCAGGCCCTGAGTGACAGAATTACTGGTCCAGCTACACTGGACACCAGGCACGCGGAAGACATTAACGTTTACATAGGGAGCCACAAGAAATTCAGGGCTCCTCATTACTACAGCAGAGCCTAGACCTTCCTGACTCAGTCCACATTAGAATCACCTGAGCAGATTTTAAAATTCACATGTCTGGCCCCACCCCAGGGTGGAATCTGGACACCTGTATTTTTGGTTCAAATAAAATAAAGAAGCTGCCTCCTGATACTTCAGAGTCATGCTCATTCAGATAATTCACCTACTTAAAATCCCATGCTAAGACAAGTCAGTGTTACCAGAGAGAGCACAGAGATGAGGTGTAGAAAGAGAAGGTAAATTGTGCAGGGCCGGCTCAGGGAGGGAGATGCGACTGGAGCCGTGCTTGTCCCCATGCAACGCTTCCTTTCCTCCCAGGATGGGGGGCGGGGGGGGGAAGCAGCAGAATAGTCCTGGTTCCCAGACTGAATGAAGTAATGCCTTTGTCCTCAGAATTACACTCTTACACAAGACCATTAGTCCGATGGAAGTCTGTGTAACCTAAAATGTAGTTAACAGTTCTGTACATTATGGACTAGGCTAAGGATCTAACTTGCATTTATAAATATTTTTAAAGGGCTCAACACATTCCAAAGTGATTATGATTAGCTTTGCTAACCTAAAGTATATCATACACTTCACACTTCCTCTAATCCCTACCTACATTCTCCACCTTAGATATATATCTCATCCGTCTGTCTGTCCGTCTGTCCGTCCATCTTTCTGTCTCTCTAAAACCCAGGGCCTCCATGCTGAGTTACATCCTCAGCTCTTTTTTAATTTTTTGTTGTAAGACAAGGCCAAAGATTGCCCAGGCTGGACTTGAACTTGCAGTCTTCCTGCAAGTTCCTTCCAATAACATGTCTAAAAAGAAACTTTTAAAATAAAAAAATCATTCCCTTTTGATAATAGGTTGTACAAGGTAGAATTAGAATTACATATAACTTGATTACCAAAGAATGTTACTAGTAAGTGACTCTACTCACAATATAATGTCTGCCGTGAATTGTCTTTAAGCATCTTTAAAAGTGGTGAGCCTTGGAAATCGGTTATTTCATTTACCCAGCAAATGCCTGTAGAGCAATTGGTATGTGTCAGGCACTATCATATACACTGCGAACAGAGTGGTGAACAAAATAAAACAATACCTATTCTCATGATGCAGAGTTTACTGGAAATGTAAATATTAAACGAATACATAACTATACATAATTAAGAATTGTGTTCATTTCTCCAAGATTAAAACATAAATTTTATGAAATATAATTTTTAATCCTAACCTTTTTGAGGAGATAATTCTATAAAATGCTGATAATGTTTAGATGGAAGAATAAAAGACCAGGAATAGCTCAGCCAAAGAGGGTAAGGTAAACATGTGAATGGGGGTCGAAGGTGTTCACCTTGGATGTCAGTCTGGGTCCTCTGGATAGCAGGTAGAGTTATGAGTGGGAAAAGTTTATTGAGGCCAAGGACTGTGTAATGCCTGTAAAATATAAAAAGGGAGGAAGCAGAATCGGGCAGAATGACTTCAGTCCCCATCCGGGCTCGGAGCTATATAGGCAGAGGCAGGAAGTACCCCTAAGCCAGACACACCAGGTGCAGTGCGGGCTTCCACAGAGCTCCAGTGTGCACACAGGAGGAGCCTGCTGGGCAAGAAAGGCCAGGCCCTGACACCGCTGCCGGTCAGTCAGCTAAAGTCAAGTCCACACGGGGACAGCTGAGCGCACACCTGCAGCTGCTGCTCCTTTAGCACAGAGCAGAGTCCCTGCCCTCAGAGCCCGTGCTGCTGTAAGGTGGAAAGAGTCCACGGAACAGGGTAAGGAGCCCGAAATGAACAGTGGTGGCAATGGTGAGAGTTGCTATGTGAGAAATGTTTAGAGCAGTTAGAGAAAGGGTTTCTTTAATGCACGGTGAGGTATAAATAGCTGTCACTCTGGAAAGAGGAGACTGGGCTCCAGTTTAGTCATGGACCAAAATTCCTGACAGATGAGCCAAATTCAATGTTAATTAATAAAAATCTTACCAAAAAACTCTTTGAAACTCTGTCTAAATAATCCAGCAGCAAAGGCCTTATTATTCAAGATTGAAAATCCAGAAGCCTTTTTTAAAAGACTCTAGAGCTGAGTATGGTGGCTGGAGCACACGGCCTGCAATTCCAGCTCTCCAAGAGGCAGAGGCAGGAGGATTGCAAGTTCCAGCCCAGGCTGGGAAATTTATTGTCTTAGCAAGAACTTTTCTCAAAATAAAAAATTATAAAAGGCCCTAAGTTCAATTTACAGTACTACAAAGAAAGAAAGAAAGAAAGAAAGAAAGAAAGAAAGAAAGAAAGAAAGAAAGAAAGAGGGGAGAAGAAAGAGGAAGAGGAGGAAGAGGAAGCAGAGAAAGAGGAAAAAGAGAAAGAGAGAGAGAAAGAGAGAGAAAGAAAGGAAGGAAGGAAGGAAGGAGGGAGGGAGGGAGGGAGATTGAAAACATTTGCCTGGGCGGAGGATTTAGTTCAGTGTTTCCGGCGCAGGCGCAAGTTCCCAAGTTTGATCCCTGGTACCAAAAAAAAAAAAAATTGGCTTGAGAAAATAATCAAATCATAATCAAAGGCACCAACCAGTGTTACATCAGGAAAATCATGCTTAGCACAGGTGAGAGCCCTGGATTGTGCAATACAGGCCCACAGAAAAGAGGCTGCTTTCTGTAAGCCAGGAATGAAAGTCAGGGCCACGCTGTACAGCTGAGTAATAAATACACCTGTTCTATTTCCACGAGACTTCGGTGAAGAAATGCAAATGTACAACAAATTCAATGAGCAGGAACTCCCACGTGATCATAAGGAAAACCAGGTTGATTTTTTTTTTTCATTTTTAATTTTGTTGACCACATGAAAGTTGGGAGAAAATATGACTAGTGTCCTGCAGTGGAAGGCGCTCTCCAGCCACACCTGCTCTGCGGCATGGGACACTTTTATGCAATGTGGGATTTTTACGTGATGATCCCGTAGCCCGAATGCCCATGGGTGTCTGCTAGGAAAAGCCCAAAGCCCTGTGGGACAATCTCACCTTGCCTGGAAGCTGTGGTCCTTTCCGTGTGACGGACGCGTTCAGAGTTTAATCCTCAGGGAATAGGCAGGGCTCAAGCAGTCAGGAGAAGGATTTTGTCTTTGCTTTGCTCCCCGCCACCCTTTTCTTGGGATTTTCTTCTTTTGCCTGTAAACTCGGTGAGTGTGATATCTCTGGAATGACCTCTACATGGTAGATAATAAAATGGTCTCAGAAAATAGACCTGAAAGTGTCCCCAGTACCAAGCCTCCAACTGAAGACCTATGAGCTCTCTACTCCAAGCCTCCTTCCCATTAAACAATTCATAGGCTTTCTGCTGCCCACTGTTCTGATGAAAAGTGAACAGTCTCAACCCATGCTGCTGGGAGGCCAGGCCATGCCTTTGTCTAAAGCGTCCACCGTGCACACCACCTGCCCGGTCTCACTCAGCAGCTGTCTTGGGTATCAGGTCGACTCTTACAGTGTCACAGTGCTGGTGTTCAAGTAGCTTTTATTTTACCAACTGTGGCCCCAAACTGTGAGAGTAGTAATAACACCAGCACTTCAACCAAAGAGAAGCTGCAGAGTATTCCAAGTAAAAAAGTGAACGTCCTCAAGTAAATAAACAAAATGTATGCAGAAGTTGCTGAGATCTATGCTGAGTTATTCTTGTTCATCTCTGGGCCTAACTTAAAAAATCAAACTTTATTATAGATATGTGTATAAGACACAGTATGTTTACATTTTATCCACGTTTCCAGGCCTCCCCTGGGGGTACCCACGTGTCCCTCGTGGACAACGGGATGACTGTATCTCAGACTTGTCCCACTGGTAGGTGACATGGAAAAGGCCCCACAAGCTCCTACCTCCACTGCTAAGTGTGCATGGTCCGAGGTTTAATATTATCCACAAGAGGTGGCAATTTCCTTCTAATACTTTGTAAAAGCAGCCCAGAGCCTAAGGGGTTATCCCTGCTTAAAAAACAAAAAACAAAATAAACAAGACCCAGGAATCGCTTCTGTGCCTGTGATCCATTAATTTACCTAGTCCTTTGGTGTACCTGTTTGTAATTTGAGTTCCTACAATCTTTACCCTTGGGACAATGATTCATAAATTTGCTACCCCAGTTAAGTTAGAAGCTCTTATTTGTCCTCAGTCTGCCTCTTCAAGCATCAAGAGATAATCCCTTCCCTTAGAATGACAATATTTAGTGAATAATTTGGAATTCTTCTTGATCTACATAAAATGTGTGTGTGTTCCCCGCAAAATCTTCCCCTATTAAATTCTGTGTCACTGTGGTTGGAAGGATTTTTCCACACAGTATTCCTCACCTTATTCTTAACCCATTTCTCTTTAACCATTTAGACTGTCCAACTCTTTAACTTAATATTCTCACCTATGCCAAACTGTAAACCCATCAATTTGCATTTAAAATAAATTTGTTTGGAAATATTCTTGGGAATAATCTTATTATCAGAACTGCTCGGAACATCAATATATAACAGTAACTTAAATTAGATTTTTCTTCCTCTAAAAATTGGGAGACAAATAAACCTTATCCCTGTCTGTGATGACTGCCATGACTATAGGGATGCTAATTTAATTTCAATATTTATATGAATACATGAATATTCTTGTTTTAGTCATATGATTTATGAACAATGCACTCTGTTAAAAGAACATAAGCCTAAAGGCACAATTACATTTTAATTCTCATATCTCTCAAGGAGTTTTCATCTACATCACAGGGCACTGTCTAGTTTTAATTTGGTATTTTATAAATTGTTGTCAGCAAAGAGGTAGAATGGAAAGAAAAGTGGGAGGGGTAGGGGAAAGGAAAGAAGGGAATGGAATTAATATGAGAAAATGAAAAAAAGGAAACAAAGTCTTTGTAAACAGGGAGGGAGAGAGGTGTTTAAGGGAGGGCAGGGGAAGGGGGAAAAATAACCAAGAGAGGTTATGTAAAAGTGCAAATTTCCAATGACGAATGCCATTATATTGTGTACCTAAAATGTACCAATAAAAGTAATTTTTAAAAATTAAATGAGGAGTTTTAAACTCTACAGCACGTTGCGTAATGCAGAGGCCAGGCCCGGAAGCCCTGACTGACTGGCCTGGTCCTGACCATTCGGTGGACACTTCCCCGTACCTGGGAGTCACTTCCGCCCTCTGCATCCGGTCTTCTTTCTGAGAAGGGAGGCAGGGGCGCTCTTCGTGGTGTGGGGCAGCTTCCCTCCAGGACACTCGCACTTCATCCCCGGAAGGAAGGTCGGAGAGATCCGGCCAGTCACGACCGGTGAGGCCTCAGTTTCTGAACTTAGAACTAAAGGATAGGTTGAGAAAACTGTACCTTCCCTTCCAACACTGCGTCTTACATTCTTACACCCACCCTGATCTCCACCCAAGGGGATTTATTATTTATTGGATCAGCTCACAGGATCGGAGATGGGAGAGCTCATGGCAGCACCTGCAGGCAGGAGAGCCTGAGGGTCCAGCGGCCGCTCTGTCCAAGAAGCTGGAAGCCCCAGGACGAGAGGGATCAGGATGCAGCCCCAGTCCGGGACTGAAAACAGGAAGCCCCTGGAGAGGCCTGGTGTGAGTGGCTCTGAAGGCTGAAGAAGCTGGAGTCTGACGTCCACGGGCAGCAGCAAAAGATGCACCCACTGAGACAGAATCCGGCGTCCCCCTGCAAGCCAGCTTGCTCCTTCATCCACCTTTTCGTTCTGTCCTGCTCTCCGGCTTATTGGATGAGGTCATCCTGGGTCAGGGCAGGTCTCCTCTCAATTCGCTGTCCCACAAGCCAGTCATCTCTGGATCCCCCCACAGACACCGGAAGTGTGCTTCACTCATCTCTTAAGCCAGTCAGCAATCGGAATTAATCGTCACACCATGAAATGCAAAAAGTCCCTCCTGTGTGTCCCATGGTTCATTGTCTTCTGAGATCTGAGACAGTGTCTTCCTGTACACGGTATCTCCCACAATTACGAGAAGAATTGGCCTACCCCCTGGTAATTTCCCATCCATGGCCCACACCCTGCTCCCCAGGTTTAAATTCCCACTTCTCTTTGTACTCAGGGCTGAGCCCAATTTCTCTCCCGACCACAAGCTCCACGGCAGCAGCTGCTCTCTGATAAAACCTCCCTCGCTGTCTTCTGCCCCTACCAGGTGCTTGTCGAACAAAGGATCTAATCTCTTTCAAAGAACTTTCTGTACCCCAGATAGAACTTAATGCTCCGATATGTCTAAAGTCCTTATGAATTATAAATCAAACACGAAGTGATACAGACGAAAGCAGAATGAGGTGGAAGACAGAAACCGAAATCTTAGCCAGAAAGAAAGGAAGGAGTCTCACTGTGGCTGTCCCAGGGCGGCACCAGCAAAGTCCCGGCAGTAGGAACCTAAGGGTTCCCTTTTTCTCTCCATCCACAAGTTGGACTCTTCAGATTTGTGACTTGGGTCTATTGCAGTTTTGAAAGCTCCCCCTCCATGCGACATCTCCGGGTCACAGGCAGTGGGGTGAAGTGCAGAGGGTGTCCTTGGCACTTTCCAGGCCCTGCATAAGCCCTGGGTCCTCATGGGATCACTGTGAAGTATCGGGGCAGCCTTGTTGCCACCTCGCTGCGGTTTTTCACGCTCAGTAGGAACTGTGCTCGGAATGCCTTTCTCCTTGGAAGTCCTGCCATTAAACTACACGTGCACGCGTGTGATTTACTCACTCTCTTTGCTGGTCCTTGATCTTTCTACCCATTCACAGGACAGACTACAGAAGGAGAGAGGGTGGTACAGAGGAAAGAACCAAAGGCCAGGCCACCTCAGGGAGGTGCTGCTCCCCGGCTGCGCCCTCTGGCTTTGTAATAATAGTGCAGGGGCCTCTGGACTTGGAACCCTGTGTGATTTCCTCCACTTTGCCCTTTAAAGAGCATCACAAAGTGGACCGGTGATTGACAATTAACACAACGCGAGCCTGCTGCGGGATCAGAGGACCGATTCGAGGGCCCAGTCTTGCTCCTCCTGGCTTCTCAACGACCCGAGCCCCGCCCCTCACAGATAGCGCCCTCCACGCTTCTGTGCCAGTCTCACCCTAGAAACTCATAATGCTATGAAGAAATCCATTATTTTTACAATTAGTTAAATATGCTAGTTCCATGTTTTTCCTCAAGGGCTACCGAAACGTCATTGGGTTTATAATTCCATCCCCTTCATGGTAGGACAAATGTTTGTGTGAGCACTGCATGAAAATCCTGACACTTTTTAGGTTAAACTCAGAATTTCCAGAGGCTAGAGATATATTATATAATAGGTCTTGGGGAAAGCATGCAGCATACACCATGCTCCTTAAATTCCAAGATGTGTACTTGTTAAAATACTTTGCAGCCTGGATATGTATTACAGTTGATGGTTGGTCCTATTTTATTAGCAACATTTTTGTTCAAATTTTCATAAGTAGTTGTTCACCCTACAACCAATGATGTCTTAAGTAAAATACAATACACAATCCTTGAGTCACCAAGGAGAGTCTTGTTTTACCATAAGCCTATAACTCAATGACCATCCATTTCCTTTCTAAATACCTAATTAAACTGATAGCTATGTCTGAAGTACCTACCATCCATAAAGTGTCAGGTTAGATATTATTAGAGATAAGACCACCTGGCCATTCACTCAGCTAATGGATATTAAATATTTACTATATATCAGGCTTTGTTTTCTACCTGGAAATGCTTGGTAATTTAAGCAAATAAGATCCCTATCTTCATGGAGCTTCTGTTTTGGTATAGGAGAGAGTAAAAAAGTAAACAAACATAAGCATAGTATATTTTTAAAAGCTGTATTCTTTAATTATTTTTCTTTTCTCTGATCACATTTTTTCAAAGGCCCAGAGCACTGATGAATACATTTTTGAAGGCAGCATTCCCAGAACAATTTAATACAAGCTGAAGTTCCGAAACTTTTCTGAGTACTCTCTTGGAAAACAAATCCACTTACTCCTGTTGCTATGTTCTCTTTCACTCATTGGTTATGCACACAATCTTGGAGATTTTGCAGACATCTTTCTAATGTTTTCACAACAAAAGTATGAGAGTCAAACAATAACCCAGTGATTTATGAGTTACTGTGTTTATTCTCCTGTTACCATTTTGATAGTCAAACATACATTATATAATACCTTTATTCTCAAGACGAATGTGGTTCATATCCTACTTACAAAATTAGGCTTATCTACTCATAATGTCCTCATGGATCATCCATGTGGTGGCAGGTGTCACAATGTCTCTCCTTGATAAAGCTGGATAATAGTCTATTGTATGTATATGTAACATTTTGTTTCTCTCTTCATCTGTCAATGAACATTTGGACTGCTCCTGTTTTGTCCATTAGTTAGCTTTTTGGGGGTACTGGGGATCGAACTCAGAACCTAGCACCTGCGAGGCAGGTGGCAGAACCACTGAGCTAAATCCTCGGCCCCTCCATTTTGTCTATTATAAATAATGCTGCTCTAAACGTGGGTGTACAAATGTATCTTCAATACACTGTTTTAAATTATTTTGTATACATGCTCAGAATTTAAAAATCTAGGTTAAATGAAAATTGTATTTTTAGTTTGACTACCATATTGTTTCTTATTGTGCCACATCTTTTACTTCCTACCAAAGGCACACAGAGGTTCCAGCCTGTCCACGTCCTCACCAACATTTCTTTTCTGTTGAATTTTTTAAAATAATAGTCATCCTAATGAATTGAAATGACATCTCATATAATTTTGATTTACATTTCCGTAATGACTAGTGATCTTAAATGTCTTTTTACCTACCTATTGGCTATTTGTATACTTTTTTTTTTAGAAATGTCTATTCATGCCCTTTGCCCATTTTTAAATCAGAATGTTTTGAGATGTAGGAGATATTCATATATTCTGGATATTAACCCCTTATCATACATAAGATTTGCAAATATTTTCTTTTTCTATGGATTGTCTTTCCATTCTACTGTGACTTTTGAAACACAAAATATTTTAATTTTGATGTAGTCCAATTTGTCTACTCTTTCTTTTGTTCCTTATGCTTTTGGTATCATATTCAAGGAATAGTTGCCAATTCCAATGCCACAAATCTTTTCTCCTATGTTTTCTTCTGAGAGCTTTATAGTTCTAACTCATGTGTTTGTGTCTTTAATCCATTTTGAGTTACTTGTTTACATGGTATATATTAAGGATCCAACTTTAGCATGTTGTACATGAATATCTAGCTTTCCTAATCTTGTTTATTGAAAGGTCTGTCTTTTCCTGATTTCTCTGTCTTGGTAGCTTTGTTGAAAATCATTTGATTATATATATCTTAAATATAAATTTTACATAAAACTCTGTATTGAATCATTTATAAATAAATACACACACACATATATATATATGTGAGTCTGTGGTTTTTTCTAGACTCTATTCTATTCCACTATTCTGTATGTCTGTCTATGTCATTACCACACTGTCTCGGTTATTGTCACTTCATAATAAGTTTTGAAATCAGGAAGTCTGAAAATTATAAATTGTTTTTCTCTTAAATATGGTCTTTGCTATTTGGAATCCTTCATGATTCTACATGCATTTTAGAATGGGTTTTTCTACTGCTGCAAAAAATGTCATTGGGATTTTTATAGGAATTACTTTGAATCTGTAGAGTATTTGGAGTAGAATGGGTAGTTTTACAATATTAAAGTCGTCCAATCCTTGAACTCAGAACGCGTTTCCATTCCTGTGTCTTCTTCAATATCAGCAACATTTCTAATTTTCAGTATACTTTTGCCTCCTAAATTAAATTTATTTCTCAATATTTTATTTGAATGCTATTGCAAGTGGAGTTACTTTCTTGATTTTCTTTCAGATCATCTACTGTTAATGTATAGCAATGTGAACAATTTGTCTGCAGTTTTTAGGTAATTCTATTCAGCACCTCTTCACCACCTCCCTTCCTGCTATCCTATTTAAAAAACATATAGGTAAAAGGGTCCTAAACATGAAAATCATTTCTCATATAATTATATCTTTTTTACAGACTCTCTTTTTAAGAATAGCCACCTCACGTCATATTTTACTTGTATGGTATCGGAAGAAGTTGGGGCAAACACCCTATAAAAATGCATCTCTAGTCTTGGACTACATACAAATGACTACTGAATAGTATTTCTTTTTTTTTTGTACCAGGGATCAAACTCAGGTCCTTGCGCTTGCGCAGCAGGCAGCGAAACCACTGAGCTAAATCCCCGGCCATCTGAATAGTATTTCTTACATGGGTTCAGGATCCAGGAAGTCATTTCTACTTCTCATGTCAGGTTCTTTACCTATCAAAAGTTTTCTTCTTACTCCTTTGGTAGAAGGCAGGGGGAAGGGAGGCGGGGAACGTGTGATTTCCACCTGACTGGGAGCTTTAGCGGGACATGACATTTTCATTTACACCTGTCACTGGAAACTATACATTGTTCTCCTAACCCAAGCCTAGACAGGCCTTTGAAAGGAGTGACTGTTACCCTTGTGGCGTGAAGTTAAGAGACGGCACCTTGGGGTGCCAACTCGAACACGAGAAGAATTTGGCCATTTTCAAAGGTCCAGACATGGATCAAGCACTTCTCCTTTCTCTCTTTGATATGATTCCCTCTGAGCTTGATGTATGTGCTCTAGATAAAAATCTTGCATAATGTAATCTGTTCTTTTGAACTGTAACCTCTAGGTGACAGTCAATATTATTGAATAAATAATTCAATGTACAGAAATTGCCCAACTAGTCTAGTGACATTTTGAGCACAAGTTGTCATTTTTTCTAGGATGATTTGTTCCTGAACAAATTAGATTTCTCAAGAACACAGGGCCATTCCTTTTCTGATGTAATAAAATACTTGCTTAACTTGTGCTCCGTAGCCTTGAAAATCTGCACTACATTTCCTTCATTTTCCTCAAATCTCACAAGTCACTCTGTCGGAGTCCTTGAGAAAGAATTCTCCAAATAAATTTGCAAGCTCCAAGATCCTAGGGCAGTATTTGCTGAGCCCATTCCCACACCTGCAGAGGGCCCGGTTCTTCCTCGAATGTCTG